AATTCATCAAGATGTTCTTGGATAGGAGTACCTTTCTACATCTTTAGCGAGTAAAGACGATGCTTCAAGAATAATCTCGTCATAAGAGATATCTTCATGTAGAGACTATCGAGCTTCTTCCCCAATTCCAAAGCCTTTTCTTCATCGGCGACCTCACAAAGCATCTTGTCGAACAATGACAATTGGATGGTGTTGTGCGCCCTCTCTTCTATCTCCTTGATCTCGGCTGAAGTTCTGTCGTCGGGGTACTTCCCATCCAAGCCTCTAACCAAACCTTCCTGATGCAACAACACCTTCATCTTGATCCTCCGTAGCCCAAAATTATTTTGGCCATCAAAGGGTGCCACTTTGAACTTGATAGATGCCATTTCGAACAAAAAATTGAAATTTCTGCCCTCTGATACCAATTTGTCGCAGAATAACGCCAAAAGATGCAGAAATCGAAGCACAAATAGCAAAGGATGAAACCAAAACCAAAACCAAAACCACACGAGACACAAGATATACGTAAAAACCCAAGACGGGAAAAAACCACAAGGAGAGAGGGAGGGTTTAACTATCTTCAACAACAAGTACAAGAGTACAATCCAAAATGTCAAAAAAAACAAACCGCTTGGTGAGACACAAGATCTAAAAATCTAATAAGAAGATAGCAAGAACAAAGAATGGAGAGAATGTAGAGGTTAGGGTTAGCAATGTGTTGTGTAACACAACCCTTTTATAATCTCCCTCAAAAAAGCCCTAAAACAAATGCGCATGGTCCAAAATGCCTTTTTCACCAATTTAAAAGTCAAATCTAAATCTTCTTGGTCGAGGACGAGGAGCTAGTGGTCTCGGTAGTGCCACTAATGTTTTTCCTTTACTAAAGTGATCAAAATGTTTAAATATTGTCACGTTAGATTTCTGGCATCCCAAATTGGTAATAACACTCGAGTAATCATTTTTTTTGCCAAAGTAGCATTGAAGTGATCTATGAAAATGTTTTGGCACTAAAATGAGCGTCGTATGAAAATTATGATATTTTGAATATCTTTTTCCTCACATGTTAATATGAACTTTTTCAAACTTATGAAATTATCAGGGATTAACTAATTGAATAAATGCCCACTTACTCCATTTTCTAGATTATCACACATTCTCTTAATATGGATAAAAAAAGTTAGAAGTTGTAGAAGTAGAAATTGGTCCCACTTTGTTATTTCCATTTCTCTCCTAACATAATTATCATTTGCTAGACACTTAAAAATCACAGAACATTGCAATTTTGAGGTGTGCAGTTATCTACTAATTTCTAAATCCACTGCTGCTAAGGCTAAAGTGGCAAAATTGTTCCCCTGCATGAAGTGTGGTAGTGATCCACCATTACACCCGAGTCAATCCAAGCTGAGTACGAGGGTTCGAACTCGATAGTCCAAGGTGGGATCAAAGTAGTTGTAGAGAGGACCGTAGTGTTGACACGTAAACTTTAATTGCCCAATTAAAATTTATTGCGCAAAAATTAGGAGTTAATTTTTAACCATTAAAACAAAAATAAAAATATTTAATTGCATAACATATAGACATTAAACACATGTGCATTAATTGTACTGATTAGAATATTTTTCCCTTAAAAAAAAAAAAAAAATCGAATCGGGCCGGGTCGAGGCCAAGTCAACCTGGCCCTCTCCTTTTTCCCTTCGGGCTTGGCCCTTTCCCCTTTTCCTTTTTCCCCTCACGTGAGCTGGGCTTGGCCTTGTCACGCCCCGACTCAGAATCACAATCGTTGCTTGTTGACCGATTATGACCCATTCGAGCTCATGACTCGCGAAAATGAATTAGTATGTCCCGTTCATTTTAAATGCGCAAACAGAAGCAATATTAAACGAGACATAAAAAAACATCATAAGCAAATATTGCACGTTATATTTACATGATTCGTGCTTATTTTAACAAGGTCATCTTTCGAGTTTTTGCAAACCACGCATATATTTTATACGCTATTCCAAAGGCATTTTCGAACAAAAGCCGACTATGAACAATAAAATTTTGGCTTAGGGTGATCCTACTCCCACTACTCCGTCTCCTCGCGCTCCCGTTTACTCGTGCTACTCCTCCCCGTGACTCGTCCACCTGGTTGTCTCACACCCCACCCTTGGCATGCCCCGGAGCCGGCTCGCCCATACTGTCGAAGGGGCCGCTGAACTTGCGCAGGGCTCCAATCCAGTCTCTGTTAGACAGGCGGTACCACGCCACATATGTGTGGGGAACCAATTCCTCGAGGCCCTCATCCACCATTACATAAGTTGTAATTCGACGATAGCCGCGGCTTTCACGAGCATCGATCACGGTAAGCAATTCAGCTCGCATCTCTATGGGGTTGTCAAAATGGGTTGGGGGAGACGCCATCCTACGAACCTGAAAAGAGAAAAATAACGTGGAATGAGTCGGAGAACTCAATAAGTGAACTCACTAATGTCAAGCGAGAATGAATTGATCGCCCTTAACATGAGTCGGCTCTTACCGCACCGGTATCAATGGCAAATCAATAGCAAAGTTCATGCCAAGAAATAACAATAGAACATCAAGCATGGCTACCTCTCGTGAACATTCCCGTCAAGCCCTGTTTTCTATTTCGAGATGTGAACATTAAACACGAAATATAAGCAAATCATGGAAAGAACCAACTATGATCAACCAAGTGACCAAGATACGGTCCAAGCAACCACGTCACAACGCATCTCAACTTCCTTTCCCGATATTAGGGAATTCACTTATTCAAATGATAAAACTAGAACACGTGAGAAATAAGGAAAGCAAGAGGCGTGTGGCTTGAGCACGTGAAAGGCGGGGTGTCGGACGTGAACTTCCTAATGGCCGAACAACAAGGAGAAAAAGGATGGTCGATTGGTGTGTGTGCGCGTGTGGGGCTCCCATTCAAGTGGAGGCCTTCTCTATTTATAGTGGTCCATGCTTGAAGAAGAGGCAAAGTCATAATGATATGGCCCCTAAAGTCAAGTGCCATCATTACTTTGATCTAGAAAATCTTAGTCATTAATGTCATTAACGGAGAAGAGCCAAAAGATTATGATGGGAAGATCTTGCAAATCTTGTGCATTAATTGGCTTTCTCTCTTTCTCTCTATCTCTCTCTCTTGGCTCCTCCTTGGCCGACCTCCTCCTCCTTGTCTCTTGTCTATTATTGGTGACCACGAGTCACCAAGCTTTCATTATGGGAGTGGACAACTCAGCTGGTCCCAATTATGAAAGGGGACACCTAAGCTAAGTTCCAATAATGGTGGCTTTTAGTGGACAATTTGACTTGGTCAAATTTTGTCTCTTAGTTCCCTCTATTTTCTGAAGCGTGAGGCCTTTTTCTAGTCCTCTACAAGTGCTGGTTTTGCTCACAAATAGTTCGGATCAATCGACTTACACGATATCGACTAATCGATGCTTAACTTGTAACCCCGCATCATAATCACTCCACTTATTTTCCGAGGGTTTTTCGCAACAAAACACACTTATTATACCCCGAGGTTCGTAGAAAAACCTCCAAATGTGACCAAACACAACCAAACAAAAGTCCAAGTCCAACTATACAATCAGCCGATCCGGGTTGCCCAAACGCGTGGCCTGTGCAATCAGGCCTAGCCGGGCACAAGGCCAGGCACACTGCCGGGCTACATGGGCACACGGCCAGGCACATGGCCGGCCGTGTGGCCGAGCGCACGGGCGCGGTGCTGGGCTGCACGAGCGGCGCGCTGAGCACGACGCCGATCCGCACGGGCAAGGGGCAGGTTGATGGGCCCAATAGATGCATTAGCTTATGAATGGGCATGGCACAATGCATGGCTCATGACAAAGTCTCTTGGGCACGGAATTAGGTTGGAGCCGGATTTGACGAGCACATTGCCTGGCAAAAGGGTCAGGCACAATGCCTAGCACACGACTAGGCACATAGCCGGTCCGTGATTTAACTGACCGGCACAATGGCCGATCATGTCCGGGCACGAGGCCTGGCCGGCGCGGTTGGCACATAGCCTAGTTCGCGGCCAAACCATTAGGCTCGTGGCCTGGCACATGGCTCGTCCATGGCCTATCCAACTTGACGCAATGATCCGTGGCCGATTCACTATCGGTCCACGTTCGAGTGTCAACGACCCGTGGTCGACCCTTGGTTGTCATGTAGCCTCGTGGAATTCAGTACCTCGGAAGCAACCATGGTCATCCGTGACCGATACGTGGCCGTTCGGTATCACCCGCGACCGACGCGACCGATACATGCCGACATAGGATTGATCCATAGCTATCTCGGACTGTCCCACTGACAGCCCTTATGATCGAAGGGTCAATTCACAGTCATATCACTCTAATCGTCTTGCGTGATCAGGGAGTCATTCCACTGTCAATCCCTAGGTCAATTCATGAATAATCTTTCGATCGAACTATGACCAACCCTCAGTACACTCGTTCCGACCATGTTATCCGTTCTATTACCGACTCTCGGCTTGGACTACTTGCCCAATCTATCACTATTTACCTTTGGCCACCGAGGTCTAAATTCGAGAATGTCACAGGCCTAGCCCACTCTTCCTTTTCCTCTGGCCCGACCTCTCTCTCTCTCTCTCTCTCTCTCTCTCTCTCTCTCTCTCTCTCTCTCTCTCTCTCTCTCTCTCTCTCTCTCTCTCTCTCTCTCTCTCTCTCTCTCTCTCTCTCTCTCTCTCTCTCTCTCTCTCTCTCTCTCTCTCTCTCTCTCTCTCCTAGTCGCGGTGGATGCTGTTCAGACGAGTTTTGCCGTTACACCGAGCAAAATCAAGCGGAGAAGAGAGTAGAGTAGAGAAAGTAAAGCAAAGCAAAGCAGACCATGAGCAACCCGGAGAGACAGATCAAGTGGCCGTCAGCCGCCATAAAAGCCGAGGAGAGAGGATAGAGAAGGGGTCGTCCAATTTAAGAAGAAAAAGAGAGAAAGAGAGAGAGAGAGAACGAGAGAGAGAGAGAGAGAGAGAGAGAGAGAGAGAGAGAGAGAGAGAGAGAGCAAGAGTTGAGTGAAGAGTGAGTGAGAGGGAGCCCCGACCAGCCTCACTGTCACCCATGAGCCGACTGATGACCCCCAGCCGAAGCTTCAACCGGTGAGTCTCTCACGGCCCCTATTTTACCCTTTTTCTGCGCAGGTTGGCTTGGAGTTCATGGCAGTCCTTTTTGCACGAACACTGGCCCATACCATCCCTGTTCCTGGTCTAGGCGGCACCGTAGGGGGTGTGCCATGGCTGCCGGAGTAGGTCTATGCCCCGAGAAAGGTCGAGGACCTCTTATTTCAACCGCGCACAGCAACTGCTCAATGAAACTCCTGAACGAGATTCATTTGTTGTGGTCTTTGACCGGCGATGTAGAGGCTAGCCAGGGAGCTGGGAGGCTTAAGTCGGTCTTGTGGTCTCCGTTTGAGACCGAACAGAGGCCAAAATTTGGCCTAGGTTCGCCGGCCAAGCCTCAGCCAGAGCGGGGCCAAGAGGCCCTGGCTGAAGGCTCGTTCGGCGGTCGTTGTAGTCGGCTAGAATGGTGGCCGACCAAGTAGGGCCCCGAGACTTAAAGGCGGGCAAGATAGGCTACCGGCTAGCCTCTAGCCCGGCTACTTACCGGCGCCTGTCCTCGGCCTTCGTTGAGGCCTCGCCCACCTGAGGCATGCAAGAACCGGGTCGAATCGAACCCGCAGTCTTGGTCGGACCAGTTTGCAGGTGTTGGCTAATCCGGTTCGGATCCGAAGACTCAACTCGGGTCCATTTATATAATATAATATTACATTATTTTAATATATAAAAATATTTCTTAATTAAAAAATAAATGATTTTTTAAATTTGTTTGATTCGCATGTTTTGAATCGCATGTTTAATTCGGTCTTGCATGTAGATGTTTAGAAGCATGTTAGGCCGTTGCTTGCACACTTCCAATGCATAGATTTTTGTTTTCTTAGTCCGATTAGGATTAGAACCCTATAATTCACAATCGATAGAAAGACTGCATGTATACTTTGGTTGCCAATTGTTAGTTTAATGATTGCGCACCCGCCTAATCACCTTATTTATTAATGGAGAGATTCGAAATCAATCCAAACTGTCTGACAAATATTTCCGGAATTGAATAGGATAAAGGTACCGAAAGGGCACTAGTTGTATAATTAGTGTAATCAAGTCTCCGAACTCTTTAAATCTCTGGTTCGTAGGAGTAAGGCGATTCTCCCGTCATCTTACTTGAGTTTCTAATCGACCCACCCTAAACTGATTAGTGGCAACCCCTAGATAAAACTGATTTGCATGTTAATAATATGGATCTTAAGTCGCGAGTTGGTATGGATTTGGGAGAGCTCGAGTTAAGTCCTAAATTTAGACTTAGTAATCCATTAGCCTCTTAACCTCTTGGCTCCTGAGGGCCGCCGCGGGGAGGTCCCGACAAGCGGAGATTCTGTTCTCTCACGATTGCATATTTGAGGTTTGTAACCATAAGCACAGAAAAGAGTCACTCCCAGTGCAGAGCTTTCAGTGGAAGGCATGAACACTTAGCCTTGTGAATCTCGGAATCGAGATCTCAAGTGTCCCACGTAGCCATGAGTTTCTAGGATTGCCGATGCCAAAGAGGAAGAGAAGACTAAGCAACTGGCATTCTTTGCGTGACCAGATCAATGTATATATATCGTTCAGAGTTACATAGCATGGTTAGATTGATAAAGGGTGACAAAAGCTTTTCCGAAAGTATCCAATGCATGCAGCCCAATCGAAGTTTCCCAAAATTATAGCATGAGAGAGCTCGAGCGAGAGGGAGGCAATTAAGCTCTCGGATGCTATTGCATGAACTTCAGTGAGCGACCATTGTAAGTGCACATTTAAAAGCTAAAGGGGCAAAAATGCGAAAGAAAGAAAGAAAGACTTGTGAAAGGAAGGGTCCTATCTTCGATCTGTCTCTCTGTTAGCGAATGACGAATGGGGGAGAGGCGGATTTAGTTAAGAATAATCAAAAGACAGCGAACGCAAAACTAAAAAGGGTGAGTGAAATCCTGCATGATGATGGCCGCAGATCAAGTGTCCTTCCACACGGCGAAAGGGGATGCCTCCACCTGATGCATCGCACAATTGTTACTAGAGAAGAGGGTTGTTGTTGTTGGCACTGCAGTGGGTAGCCAACCCAGCTCGTATCCACCACCTTGTTGATAATGTTCATGGTTGCAATCATCTTGAATGTGGTTCTGTTGACCATACCCAATTACTTTCGCTAGCCCATCATTATCTTTAGTTTCATTCACTCTGAATTGCTCGGTATGCTGATTTTGATGATGATGGCCAATGCCATTGCTAGCCAAGACGGTTCCCACCGGGATCCCAAGCCCAGAATGATTATTATTCCCATATGCAGCTGCATTGTTGAATCCATTACCACCATACACAAGAGAATTGGAGGATGAACTCTGCTCCATGGATATTGGGGAGTCGATGTTATTGTTGGAAGAGTCAGTGGTGCTCAATAAGAGGGAATTGGAAGAGGCAGGCTGGTGGTTGAAGAAATTGTGGGTGGTGTTAATGGTGTTGGAGTTGGAATAACAATAATCATCCTCTTGCTCTTGCTTGCATGGCCACGCCCTCTGCACATGCCCATATCCATATGGCGAGGGCAACTGATGATGCCGATTTATCGCATGCTGCATATTACTGTTGCTCATCCATGCCTGCGCCTGTGCTTGTGCATGGAGGAAATCCCCATAATCAGTGGTACCACCTTTGAATGTCGTATAGGGCCAGAAAGCGCTGAGCGGTGATCCAGAGACAAAGTTATGGTGCTCATGTGATCCCCCAAGAGTGATGTGGCCCGCGATGGCAGGCACTGACTGCTCGGCTTCCTTCAAGCGCTTGGCGGCTGCTCCAATAGGCAAGTTGGTGCTCTCCAGGATGGTCTTCACGTCGTAACGGCTCATGTCGAAATTGGTCACTGCGTTCAGCCCCCTGAACTTTATGGCGGCTATATCATATGCCTCGGCTGCTTCCTCTTGGGTACCTGCCAGCAATTTTTGCATTCAGTGTGCAATTCATCAGATACATGTACATATAGATACCTAACGTGGCACCTATAATAGTTAACAGAGTCAAGATTCAAATACATATTCAATCGTTTATGCACAGTTTAAATTGTTGTTACTATATGAACACAGGAAACTAGGGAGAGAACTCACTGAAAGTGCCCAAGTAAAGGTCCTTGTTCCCAGCAACCCTTCCTATTCTTGCTTGCCACCTTCCATGCTGGTGATGTCTGACACCACATACCCAAAAAAGCTCTAATTAATTAAGTTCAAACACATATTAAATCCTGATAAAATATGTGAGACAATGATAATCTAATCTTGGGGATTCACTCAACCGTGGGCCACAATCAGTTCATGCAAAAGTCATATACATTACCTGGTCACTCCTCTATAAATGGATGCCCCACGAGAGAACCCACTACTCTTCCTGCAACAAAGCATCGAAGAGATAAATAAAAAAATAACTCCATAGAGCAGATCTTTGGAATTTCACCTTCAATTCATTCTTAATGCAGTCCAAATCGTTAAGTAAATATATATCTGTTGTGTTAAGGAGTGACGAAGATATGTATTGTACGATGCATTACTGTACCTTCGCAAAGACGCAATGAACTCCTGCCTGGTCATGTGCTTCATCTCTTCCAACTCTTTATCGTAATTGCTGATCTGAAAGGTCATACCCAATACATTGTTTTAGATAGAAAAGAGACAAAAAAGGACGCAGTCATCTGAGTGGGAAACAAAAGAAGGTACACTTGTCGGGTAATTCATCGGTGAACTGAGGACACATCCCTCGTATTAGGGAGACCATTTAGGATCTCATCTAAAACACGTCACTGCCCGGGAGTAAAAGGTAAGATAAGAAAAAGGTTAACACATCCCTACGAAGTCTAATCACCAAATTAACAAATTAAATTAGAGGCGATGCAATAATCGGTGCAGGCAGTTACCGGGAAATTGGTCGTGGTGGTGGTGCCCCAATACTTGAGAGCGGCTAAATCATAGGCTCGGGCGGCCTTTTCTTCCTTGTCATAACCTCCTACATGAACAAATCAATCATCACAAAACAAGTTAGATATAGTAATAGAGATTCTGATGATGTATATTGAGCTCAATTTGATTGCAAAGAAAGATATGGAGGGCTGATATTGGCATATAAAGGGATACTTACCCAGATAAACTGCGACAAAGTGAAGTCAGTGAGGATGGAGGAAGCCAGGCCAAAATGAAGACGTTCAAGTAGAGAGGACATACATTGTGGTAAGCACTTAACCAGGAGACAAATGATTAATAATGACTCATAGCATCTGAAGAGGGCACCAAAGTTACTGTTACCTTGCCTTCCCTTGCGAGTTTGGCCTTCCCGACGGCAGGTATTGTCCCAAAGGTGAGCCTCATATCTCCCAGTCCATCTATGCCTGCACCAAAAGCCAAGAGATCCCAACATATGTATTGAGACATAAAAGTACAATATATGCTTCTCCACAATGAACATATATATGCATAGATAAACATGAGAAGGTGGTGAGGAGTTAGTGAAAAAGGAAGAAGGGCGAACCTGGTAACGCCGCGATAGATGGAAGTGCGTTGTCCGAAAGTATCGGCAGATCTACGAGGGAGTGAGTCGGCGGACAAAGTGGTTGGGGTATCATCAGTAGAGGAGTTATCACGAAGAAGAGGAGGAGCAGGAGGGGCCGTTTGCATTTGTGGATCATTGTGATCGATACCACAACCGCCGCCACTGGCAGAAGCGGTGGAGAGCGACAGCGCTTGTGCTGGTGCACCGATCTCCGTCCCGGCCAGACTAGTACTAGTATTGCTATTGGGAGGGTGGGTCCTCAGCCAAGACTTGATCATGGACAAGCCGAGCATGGAGGAGGATGAGGCGGAGCCGGAGCCGGAGCCGCCCATGTTGAAGTTGTGGTTGAGGTGGAGGTGGTCATGATCAGAAGAAGAGGAGAGGGGGTTGCACCCGAGAAAGTTGTCGAGCTTATTGGGGGCTTGTTCATCATCAGCAACTGGGGTTTGGGCCAAGAGCATAGCTGATGCTGATAGATCCACCACCGAGTTCACTGCCTTGAAGCTTCCATCTCCTCCCACCCTCTTCACCCTCCAATCTGCACTCACACCCATTCATTTGTTCATTAATTTCTACCCATTGCTTCATCCATCCATCATAAACACGTATCGGGTTCAAGAAGAAGAAGAAGAAGGTATGTGTGCAGGCGCACTCAGTAATATTACCTGAAACATCACCATCATCAACAGCGGTGGGATCAGAAATGCCCTGGGAATGGGAGAGGAAAGGAAGTGGGAGAGCAAGGGGCTGCTGTGACTGTGAAGAGAGAGAGAAACCCAACCACTTGTTCATCGAACCCATTTGCCTTTTGGATCTATTCACCTTCTCTGTATCCTAAACACATACCTTCTCATGCATAAGATTGATCAACCTTCTTTAAGTAAACAGATGGAGGAGGAGCCAGACTCCACTTTGGGGAGAGAGAGAGAGAGAGAGAGAGAGAGAGAGAGAGAGAGAGAAGCATTCCCCCTGATATGACTTCTGTGTTTTTGGGCCTTTGAGACTGCAGGTGGAAGAAGGGAGAGAGGGAGAGGAAAAGGCCATACCCCCCCATCTTCATTTTTGTTTAACTATATGTCATCTTTTTCTTTAAATTTTTTTGAAAAACATAAAATAATCATTTCATTATTTCCCTTATAACCCACAAAAATTGACTTTTAAGAAAAAAATGCAGGTACCTAATTGACTTCCTTTGACTACTTTATCTTCAATGCCACCTTTAAAGCTGCGTTTGATCGTCTGAATTTTTAGCCATGATAGGATTATATAGGATAAGATACAAAATCCACGGGATTTGCTATAATTTATCTACTGTTTGGTAAATCGCAGTAATAAAGCCGGACATTTTTACATATTACAATGTTTATTATTTGTTATAAACGTCATATCAGTGTAAATGAACATAAAAATTGCACAAACTGACACGATTAAAATTTCTCACCACACTCTTATCTACTTCATTTGTATTTGCTCATTTGTTATTATTTTTCCCTCTCTTTTTGTAATTATTTTCTTTTTTATTTCTTTTTTCCCCTTCCATCATTCTCTAATAACATCTTATTAAATAGTAAACTATACTAATATACCTAAAATATGTAGTAAATATAAATACTAAATTTATATATATATGAAATTTATATCATGAGATAGAAAGAAATTTGAATATATAAATAAAAATAAGAATAAATAAAAACGAAATTGTTGTTATTTTTTTGTTAATTTGAATTTTTATAATAAAATTCAAATATTAATTATATTCATATATTATTTAAATTTTATCAGTTTAACAAATTTGTTATTCGAGAAAAATAACTTTTATGTGGATATTAGAAATCATATCCACCTTTATCCCACCTTCCCCATGGGATAATTTTATTCGGGTTATATCCTTCATATATCCAACTTTATCCTATATTTGGCGCTTACTTTATCCTGTCTTGAGCAAGCGCCAAATACAGGATAGGATAAAATTTATCCTATCTTGAATTTTATCCGGACTACCAAACGTAGCCTAAGGGTTTATCATTTGTTCATATATATGTTGGATATGTGTACATTGATATAGAAGTTAAAAACACCTAATCAACCTCCTTTAAGGGAGCTTTGTACATAGATATATTGATGTATCCTATCCCTAATATACGATAATAGATCTGTTACCTAGATTGTGCACGCAGCTTCTTCGGACCAAGAGCTATCGCCCCAAGAGCTTTAACCTGACTCCTTCCATCTACCTAGACCGAGATTATAGACACTCCACTTACAATACATCGTCTCGTCAGTAGTTCATTAAATAACAAAAGTACAGAAGCAAAGTTTGAACGAGGCATGCACTTCCCAAGCGGAATAGTTTAATAAAGCCAATTCGAATATGTTGGAACTAAGACCAAGTAGGGAAAGCTGAGCTTATATATTCCTGCCCTTTTGTCTTCTTTTTTTTTTTTTGGTCATGACCCTTTTGTCTTTACTGGGTTTAGAAAAGATCATGTGCAAGAACTCATTAACATATACACAAATGCATTATGATATGACTATGAGCATGCGTGTGCCTTCTTAATTTAAACCTAAAATCCATGAGGAAGAAGACCCACGAATTGTTCTGAAAATGATAACTTGGAGGGCAATCGGATAGACCACTCCACCCCCCTGGTCACCAACCAGCCCACCACAACCAGCGACCGCCACCACCGTGGTCATGGGCATGGGACCTTTGAATCTATCAGCACTTGAATTCTAGGAAAATGTTGACCACATGCATGTACTTTATCCTCTTTAAGATCATTGTAATTATTGTATCTACTCCTATCGTCGTAGGATCGGCTTCACATGCCATCTGAACCCCGCGCATCGGGTGTTTTGCTTTCCTTTTCTGTCTAGTCAAAGAAACTGGGAGTAATTATAACATATACCGACAATGTTATTAAAGCTCTTATAGTTGTCTAACTCGTACTAATTAATCAACTATAGAAAGTAGCATGCTTATCTAAATTCCGAGAAAAAGAGTGTAATTAACATTTTTCGGATGGAAAGGTTTATTAATGAAACTTACTTAATTACAAAACAATGTTTTATTTTTCCACCACCATCGAATTGCAAGATGGCATTTAATTCCCTAATCGTCACTATCGCCAACGAAGTGTTGGTCCCTCGTTTGAAGCAAGAGTAATTATATACCGACAATGCTATTAAACCCCTCACAGTCGTCGGACTCTTACTAAGTAATCAATTATAGAAAAAATCATGCTTCTTTAATTTCGAGAAAAGAGTGTAATTAACATTTTCCGAATGCAAAAGTTTTCTTATGAAACTTACTTAATTACAAAACAAGTTTTGTTTCTCACGACCATCGAATTGCAAAATGGCATTTAATTCCCTAAACGTCACCACCGCCAACGAACTGCTGATCCCCCCGTTCAAAGCGGGGGGTGGGTTCACTCTGAGATATTCTGCAGACTGATGGGGTTGTTCATGCATGCAGGCTTTAGCAGTGCAATCTAAGAAAAAGCAGATTAATATAGTATTAAATGCCACTTATAATATTCATATTCATTCTGAAATTTAAAAAGAGATAGAGAGAGAATGAGAAAGAGAATTAATTAATTAATTAATATATTAATTGCAAAAGTTGCACCCCCACGAGAGGACATCGGCCCTGGTCTTCCGGGTCTTACTAGATTATCTTTTTTCTTATTTCATTCTCTCTAGTATTCCTAATTCCCTTCTTTGCTTGTAAAATCTAGCTACATGTTCCTTTCTGATTTTAATAGCTTTTTTGTATTTGGAAAAACATTTCGCACACTTTTTAAGTTAACAACTTAAAGAAATTACGACTTTTGATATCCTGAATTATCTCGTGTCGTATGTAATCCATGTTTCGAAAGTTCGAATATCTTGGATATTAAGAGAGCGACTTTCGAAAGATGTTGTTTCTTGAGTAGATAACTTTCCCTGACATGTCCTCTTCTTCTCATAATATCCAATTTGAATCCATGACTATGTTATTTACTAACCCTCATTAATGTTATGAGATTACCGTTGAACAAAACTAAACACATTGAAGGGAACATCATGCGGTGTGAACCGTATTTACACCGAACATGGTATTCCGGGTTCGATTATTCTTCACTTAATCGACAACCTTTCACCCTATATATCCATCCACATTCATGCACTCACCTTCCGCCGTGCATTGCGATATCCATCACATTTAATCACAAACTTTCTTTACACGAATATTTGACTGTAAACGAAATGCGCAGAGAGAATCGTGTTAACACAATAATAGTAAAGAATGCTTAATAATCATATTTAATTGTGAGATTTTTTTTTCTTATTTTCAGAATTATTGCACACGTGCTATGAAATGAAATGAATGTGTTGATAGAAACCCTAAAAAAACCCTTCTTGGCTTAATTACTTTGAGAACAATACCCATCTATCATTTGTGGAACATTTTACATGCATACACACCCGATGAGATGTGATTATAAATCAATTTGGATGTCACAGGACAGGATGGACGCCCCTGCGGTCCAGCATGTCGAGTTTCTGACTGCTCTGACATTGGGTGTAACATCATGCATGGATTGGATATACATCATGTCGTGGTAGAGCTGGTGCACGCAGTGCACGTCCTCAATGCATGCCATCTGTTGCCCAACCACCCACCAAGTACATATTTATTCCTACCCTAGATCCATGTATGAAGATATAATAGAAAGGGCAATTATGTCCAAAAAAAAAACAGGGGGAAAGATTAGAGAGGCTAATGTATTTCTCGTGTTAGAATATTCAAATACTAAGACTGTTTATTTCGCGAAAAAATGAATGATTTAAAAAATATATTTTTAAAGATGATGGTTTATATCGCTTATAAAAATGAATGACGATGAAAAACGATTGTTTATATTGTTTATAAAAACGAATGAACGAAAAATATTTTCATCGTCCATAAAATATTTAGCTATAAATTATTGTCGACAATGAATACGTTTTTCATTGACTAATTATTTCACGCGATACAATAGATTAATTTTAGGGAAAATATTTTCATAATCATTCATTTTCCGTGAAACAAACGGAGTTTAAATCGCGCCCTGACCTAACGGTTCAAATAGTTAGCAGTAATCCTACAAAATCTCACGTGGTATCAGAACATGGGACCTTGAATTTAAATCTTTTTAGGCCATTTATTTGACTCATTCATTATATATTTCTGCGCTTAGCATTAGGCCAAAGTCCAGCGTGTGCATGAGGGGAAGTGTTGGAACATTTATATACCAACGGCTTAAAATTTTAAAACGAACGACAGCGATCCTATGAAATCTCACGCCACGTGCCTCGTTTTTCGGCTTCAACATGTAGTTGCAGTCGTATCTACTTCAACTTTGAACTAATATAGAATTAATATAAGGAATCTCCTTCATTTGATGGATGGACCATGGAGCCCTAGGGGGCACTTATCATTTGAAGCATTCTTGCTTTTATTGGACTTGTAGACGTGAGGTGACAATTTATTCATATAAACAAGACAGAATATGGAGGACAAACACTATATATAATGATATATCGAGTGCCTCCGTAGCCTGTCCGTTTATATTACAGTGACGATAAACTTCACGGATGCATTTATTATTTTAACATATCGAGCTCTGCCCCCTCCCAATTCCTACCTGTATCTTTATCTTCCTCAAGTACGAATAAATACCCTTTGAAAGTTTTACATCTCGGGGATCTCGAGATCCGGACGAGACTCGGGATGAAGCCTTTCAAGATTTCTTTTGGTACCTAACAACTTATTCATACAAAGAAGACAGAATATGAAAGGACAAACGCTGTGTTAAAATGATACATCGAGTGCATTAAAAGTTAGATAAGAGACAAAGAGATGAGGAAAAGAAAAGAGAAAAGGTTAATGGAATTACAATGCGGATCGAAAGAGTAAA